CCTATTTTCGAATTGGGTACTTTACTTTAACCTTTCTCTATAAATCCCCTAACTCTTCGTCTTTTACCCATTAGAAAACAATAACTTATCGACTTTTTTTCTCTCTCTCTCTCTATTTTTGCAGTTGGGCTGGAGAGACTGAGCCGCGGGTTGTTTTCCGTAACATTGTTCAAAGACCACGCCGTAAATCCACCGGTATTTTGCTTCTCATTCTTCAGAAAGGAAAAGAAAAGGTATGAACTAGGGTTAAAAAATTAATTTTTGGGATTTGGGTTAATGCAGGGGAAACTGTGACAATTGTTGGTGACCATGACACTGCTTTATTGAGATATTTTGATTGCAGTCGCGCCGGTCCTCGATCCGCAGATCGATCATCCTATCTTGATCACGGAATGTCTGCAACCCGGTTTATTCCCGCAGTAAAATGGCTGAACTTCTTTTTGAGACTTACGGGGTTCCATCTGTAGGTATAAAGCACTCATTTTAACATCACATATTAGGCTCACTTGTTTTATCTGAGTGATACATTGTCCTGCATCCACGAGTAAGGCTCAAATTTCTTCAAAATAAGTTATGGAATTTCATTTGAATTAATACTTGCCACGTTTTTTTTATTCCGTATCTTTTAATACATGAAACTATTTGTTCTGTATTTATATGATCTCTGATGTTTGATTTCTCTGTTTGAGATTTCAGCATTTGGTGTTGATGCTGTTTTCAGCTATAAGTATAATCAACTGCATGGGCTTTGTGAGAAAGACGGTCTAGCTATCTGTCCTGGATTCACCACTACTCATGTCATTCCCGTATGTTACCTTGACTTCGTAGTTTACCTCGGTGCCTAGATTTGCAAAGTTGAGGTGGTCATTATTTAGGTTTGAAGCATGTTCTAAGTTTCTATTCGAATTTTTCCTTAAAAATGTCTCGTTTTATGTTAGTGTCATGAAAACTTTTCAACATTAACGTCTCCTTATGTTCCTTCGATGAACCTTCGGTCTGTTACGTGGTTGGCAAAGGAAGATAGATCTTGTAATAGAACTTTAGAATAGGAATTTACGAAATATGATTGAGGCAATAAATATTAAATTTGACCAAGACGAAGCAAGCACGTTGAAGTTCAGATTATAATGGCATTTGTTTGAACACAGTTTGTTAATGGGGAGCCGGTTTACAAAGGATGCTGCCAAACTAACATTGGTGGATTCTATGTCACCGACTATTTGAAGCAACTTCTTTCACTTAAGTATCCTCATCACATGTGAGTATAAATCCATGAATAGTCTGAATCGTGACATGCTTGGATAGACATTTTCTAATGTTTTTTAAATGCTTATAATAGGGCTAGATTTACGTGGGAAAAGGTCGAAGATTGAAGATGGAACACTGCTATATTGCACCCAATTATGCCTTAGAAGCTCGATTATTTCAGGTAATTGAATTACGTTTTTTTCCCCTTCCGCTGTCTTTTCAACTCCTTAAAGGTCAAATACTGTAACAGAAAGGTGGCAAGGAAGCGGAAGATAAAACCAGGTGTTGGCAGCTTCCATGGGTTCCACCACCAATCGAAGAACCTCCTTCGGAAGAAGAGATAGCAAGAAAAGCTGCTATAAGGGAAAGGCAAGGACAAAGATTGAGAGAAATGGCTGAAGCGAAGAGGTCGTCTAGAATAAACGAACTAGAAAATCAATTGCATGGGTTAGAATTTCTCTTGCAACAACTCGGACAAATTCAAGAGGAAGAAATTCCTTTTTTCCTTTCGGAAACCGGTTATACTTCTAAACAGGAAATAGAATCAACGCTTACGAAGGTGATACAGTCGTTAAGAAAAGCAAAAGGTGAACCAAAGCCCGAACAAGCTGAAAATGAGGAGAAGACGGAATCTTCTATGAGCGAGAAATATCCTCTTGTAAACGTTCCTGATAATATGCTTACCCCCGAGCAGGTACCTAAACCTTTAACAGCAAATATCTAATATGCATTGCTTTCTTGTCATTGATGGTATTTTTTTAGTCGAAGGCAAATGATTTGTTGGTTGATTTACTGTGACAGCTCAAGGAAAATAAGAGGCAGATATTTCTTAAAACCACGACAGAGGGCCGGCAGCTAGCTAAACAGAAACGTTTCGAAGAAGAACTAGAACGAGAAAGGAAAACCCAGCTAGATGAAGAAAGACGTTTGTATGCCTCGAACACAGATTTTTGTCTTTACCATTTTCACATTTAAATTTAACGAGAAAAAAGGTGGTCCCATCATATTGCGAGTTTACATTTAATCTGATTGATACTTAAGTCTTCTTCATTGCTTTATCTTTTTACAGGGAGAACCCTCAACTTTATCTCGAAGAGATGCACTCTAAATACAAAGAATTGCGTGAGAAGGTTGAACAGCGGAAAAAACTCGAGACAAACGGGGGTGATACTAATGGAAGTAGTGTGTCCGGGGGCGTCGGGCGTGGAGAAAGATTGAATGCAGCTCAGAGGGAAAGAATGCGCCTCTTGACTACTGCAGCTTTTGACCGAGGTCATGGTGAGGATACTTTCGGTGCCAGAGACGAAGATTGGCAACTTTACAAACTAATGGGAAAAGATAACGTTGACGATGAAAATGGAGCTGATGAAGATGAAGCAGAGCTGGCCTGTGCTTGTTCTAGGCTCCAGGTCAGTTTCTTTCTCTTGGCATGTGTCGATCTATCTGAGATTTTCCGATTATTGAAGATGGATCATTCGTTACATTCTCTGTTTCTGCAGGAGATAGATCCGACATTTGTTCCTAAACCGGAACCAACACCTTCACAGCCGGCTACCGCCGAGGCACCAGTTGTTCGTGCTCTCACCAAGGAAGACTTCCAAATTGTGCTTGGGATCGAAAGGTTCCTATGTCGTGAAATATTATTCCACCCGAACTTGGTCGGGATAGATCAAGCGGGTTTAGATGAGATGACCAGGGTCTCAATAAGAAGGTTGCCATCCAAGGCTGAGGCACTGGAGAATAGGTTGACCAGTTCTATTTTTATGACTGGTGGGTGCAGTCTCTTTCCCGGTATAAATGAACTATTGGAAGCCGGAGTCCGGATGCTTCAACCATGTGGGTCGCCGATTAAGGTGGTAAGAGCATTAGATCCCGTTCTCGATGCATGGCGTGGTGCTTCAATTTATGCTGCAAACTAGAAGTTCCAACAGCAAACATTCTGTATGTCGGATTTATACGAGAAGGGCGAGGAGTGGCTTCGACGATATCAACTGCGTTACACACTGTAAAAGTTTATTTTCAGAGATTGTAGTACATGAATATCCATCAGCTTGTTCATGAAAACTTTGAACTTTTAAAATGATAATTAATCTTATGGATAAATTACTAAATTTCACCATTTAACTTTTTCTCACATCTATTTTGATCATTAAGCTTTAAAGTTTTTTATTTAATCATTCAACTTTTGAGTTCTTCCCGTTTTGGTCTCTACGGCTTATTTTAGTAATATATTAATATGACCTGATTTATTTAATAATATTTTATGTCATGAAAATTAAAAAAAAATTCAAAACTCAAATCCTCATTGGCCTCATCACCCCAAACACACATAATTTTCATATATTCTAATATTAATTTTGAGTAAGTTTCGTGAAAAAAGTAATTATAGGTAAAGAAAGATGAATGTGAGCGTTTTGATATTGATTTTACTGCGAATGGTGATAAGTAATGAGGGGTGGCTATTAGAAAGTGCAGTGTCAAAAAAATATGTAGTTCAAAATTTCAGTGGCAAAATCAACACACCCCTAAAATTAAGTGTCTAAACATCAAAACAATTACTCCAAAATGATGTCGTATTGATGTGGCAAGTCATGTAAAAAATCATTAACCATGCCATCATCCTATTACTTAACGATATAGAGACCTAATTGAATGTAAAATTAAAATTCAGTGTTATAATTGACAAAATTAAAAGTTTAGTGATATAAAAAAAGTTAGTGAATAAAATTCAATGATATTTGGTGTAATTTACCCATAATATTATTATAAATAAATTCTGTCACTTTATTCATTCATAATCAGGTTAATCCAAATTAAATATTATAAAATCTCATTATAGAAGTGCTCCATTTATAATTAAGAGTGAGTATTTGATCAAGTTGAATTGAGTTAAAAAAATAGTTAGTCTAATTAGCGAGTCATATTTTATAATTCAAGATTTATTTGAATTTATTTTGAGTCGAGTTACTCGAGTTTTTGTTTAAATTTAATTATAAATATTTATAATTTTACGATACTAATTGATTTCAATTTAAACGACTTTTTATATCCATATATGATACACATATATTTTTTCATATACAATATACATATATCATGGAAAGTTATAGCCTATAATTCAATCCCTATGCTATGGAACTTTGATTTGTGATTTCAAAAAAGGATTTTTCCCATAAATTCATCATTATTTCTTCATGAAACGATGGACTAATTGAGGCCAGTTCCTATCTTCCATGGAAAGGATAAATTCACAGGTAAATAGTCTGAGCATGCTACATATGTTATTTCTTATTCTTCATTTTTCTTTTAAGGATTTATGTCAAGTGTAAGTACAATGACAAAGAATAAATCTAACGTTTGACTAAATAGTTATTTTAATTCATATTTTTTTTTAGAGTATTTTAGTCTCTAACATTTCATTTTAAGGAAAAAAGATCAGTCTGTAGATAAAGATCTCTTTAGTACATAGGTTAACAATAAAGTAACTTAATTTTGTATTTTCCAGCTAATCAGATAGCTTAATTTGAATAAATTAAAGGAATAAATAAATTATTTTATATTATAAAATTAACAAATAAATCAAATCAAACTAGGTGACCGAACCATAAGAATACTTAAGGACTAAATATATAATTTACCCTTGTGTTTTGGCATTTATGTACAAATAGCATATTTTAGGGGCTAGGATGCATTTAGCCCTTTATTTAATAAAAATCTTACTACTCGCATTCGATTCCCATTCAAAACCGATCAAATCCCTAACCTGCCTCGCGTACCTCTATTCGTTTTTCTCTACACCAATACAAAGCCACAACCCTCGAAGCAGCGCAGCTCGTCGGCGTTCGCGAACGGCGATAGAAACTGGTTGTCGGGGTTCTCCTTCAACGTTCTTAGAGCTCGTTTTCAACTCCGATTCTTTCTCAGGTCAGGTATTGTTGATTTTTTTGCTTTTTTATTTCCATAATCCTGTTCGATTTATTGTGGGAAAAGCTAGGTCTATTTTTTTTGGTCTTTTGAACTTTGGATCAATGAATTTTGGATCTTCTCTCTTCTCCCAGCCGTGGTTTTATCTATTCTCCCATTCTATTTAAGTTGCACTGTAAAATGTATATAGCCTTTTCTCTGTGTAAAATGTAATTGTGGAACCTACTGAATAATGAGTTTTGGCATCCATAATTGCATGAATATTTATATTCATTGAAATTGAATGATTTAGAAATATGATCAAATTTCAATTCAAAACTAGTGTTTAAATAAGCAATAGCTAAACAATGTAGGGTGATTAAGTAATATTGTTAATTATATTTCGGTTGAATTAAAGCTTCCATGGGATCCACTTGCAATTACATGGTATGATGTTTGCCTGACTTCTCCTACCAAATGGATATTACAATATGCAGGGTAAAGATGTCTAACTCTATGAGCACAGTGCCTGAGATACCAACCGAGGGCCAACATGATGTAAATGCTGGAGAATTCAATGATGACATGGAGCTGGCAGATGATCAAATAGACTTAGCAGTGGCTGAGCATCAAACTGGGCCCCAACAGAATGAATCCAGTTTCACGGATGATGTGAGTAATTTTTTTTAATATTTGTATTTTATAGTAACTATCAATTGATTTTGTCGTTTTTCTTGCAGCACAAGGCTGGTGTCTTCCGCTACGATAAAGCAGTGGGTGTTATGGATCCTTCATATGAGAAGTTTTATGCTACATTAGCTGAAGTTCATTCACGTGCAGAGATTGCAGAGGAGAGCCTTCGTTCTATGGTGGAGCTTTCTCGTTCCAAGGACGAGCGCATTCATTCTTTGGAGGAGCGTATTCTTTCCATAAATGAGGCTTTTCGTGATACGGATAAACGTTGTCGTTCTGCGATTAAGATGGCTTGTGCTGCGGAGCAGCGAGCTGATGCTGCGGAACAGCGAGCTGATGTTGCGGAACAACGAGCTGATGCTGCGGAGGACCGTGCTACAACAACTGAGTCGGAGCTTCTTCGAGTCCGGGCAGAAGTCAGAAAGGTAACAAACCTTCTTAATGCGAGTGCCGAAGTACTTGAAAAAAGGAACAAAGAGATGGAGCGACGCTAGATGTTTATACTGGTGATATTGTTACGAGTGAGATTACATACTTTTATACTGTTTTGGATTACTTTCTTTTATACTGTTAAATTGGTTACCGTTGATACTGTTCTGTTGGATTGATTACCGTTGATACAATTTGATGAGTAGATGAAAAATGAATAGCAATATCTCCTTTTACCACTTAACTCAGGCATTATTATGAACCTCTCCCTTGTTCCACTTAACTCTCACTAATTGCAATGCATTCTTTATTTTTATTAGTAAGCACGTAACTCTTTTTTTTTACATAAAATTATCATAGACTCATTAATTCTATACAAATATAATCATAGATGATTTTAAATAGATGATTTAGATTAGAACTTTATACATTAATATTATATTTTCAATTTTTATGAAAAATTAATAAATTTATTTTAATCTTAATCATCGATTTTGATTCATTTAGAATCAAAGCCCAAAACATACATATGAAGGGGGTGAGTATTTAATTAAGTTGAGTCGAGTTAAAAAATGTAGAGTTGATATAGTCATGTTTTATAATTCAAACTCTATTTAATTTTTTTTCAAGTCGAATCGTTCTAAATTTTATTGTAAATATTTATAATATTATGATACCAATTTATTCTAATTAATGTTTGTGGGAAAGTAGCTAACTAATAATTAGGAGAAAGGCAGACCGAATGAGACATTATTAGACTTAAATATGATAGAGGTCGGAGCCCAATAAATTATGATGTTTACATCAGTGTATCCATTAACTCATTTAATTGGTCTAAATAAAAAAATTATATCTAAATTTTTAACCCAAATTCATTTTTATCAAACCAAAAAAAAAACCCCTCTTTTACCATTCATCCTTAAATGTCTAATACCACGTACCCCTGAACTTAGGTGTCAAATTCATTTAATTAGAGTGATTGGTTGTCATCTATCGATGTTGGTCAGAAAGTGTAATGTAAAAAAAGTAAGTTGTCTAAAAATTTAGTGATAAAATCGACACACTCCTAAAGTTAGGTGTTAAAACGATGTCGTTTTAGACATCAAAACAGTTGCACCAAAATTAGGGATCTTTTTTACCTTAAAATGAAATGTTGAGAGTCAAACTGCTCCATAAAAAAAAGAATAAGTGTCCGAATGATTATTTAGTCAAATATTAGAGGTATTTTTTAGCTTTATACCTTATGTTTAAGATATATTTGTCGGTCCCATTAAAATGAGATTTTGTCTCCATTCTCCAAGACTCCTTTTTCCGAACACCCATTTACTCTAAGCATTTTTACAATAACCCTACATCACCATCATTCGTTGACTCTTCATCTATATCAGAAGAAGTGAATTATCACAGACGTTTATTACCATTATACATCCGATTGAACATCAATAATAAACTATCATATAGAGGGAGAACGAATAGATTAATATATATTTGTCTACGTAAATAGCCTTATACTTTTGATTATCATTCACATTATCTCTTTGCTTTTCTTAGAGACCAACAAATCATAACGATGATTGATTCTTCCATTAGAAGAGCTTATATGTGAAGAACTTTTATGAATAAAAGCCCTTTTCAAGACATAAAATAAGCAAAACTTTCCAAATGTAAGAAATGAACCCAAAAAGCACAAGCCATTTTAGCTTAAGTTAAAAATAGTATCCCTTGTATTCAACCAAGTTCCATGCCCTTTTAAAATGATGATCATAAAGAGCAGATCTTTGTAATTTCTTATTCCTAAACAAAAACAAGTATGTATATAAGTATATATCATTGACACAATCTAAGGTATAAAAAGCTTGGGAAAATGACAGGGCTTGGATCTTCATGTGGAACATGCAAATTCCTGAGGAGAAAATGCAGTAATGAATGTGTTTTTGCACCTTACTTTTGCTACGATGACGCTGCAAATTACTTTGCTGCAGTGCACAAGGTGTTTGGTGCCAGCAATGTTTCAAAGCTGTTATTACACTTACCTGTACATAATCGAAGCGATGCGGTCGTCACCATATCCTACGAAGCACTGGCTCGAATCCGGGACCCTGTTTTCGGATGTGTTGCTCATATCTTTTCCCTTCAACAACAGGTTCCCTCTTTAATACTCTATCACTCATAAAGTAAAATGAAAAGTCCGAGCAACGTAGTCGATACGCGTGCACGAAATCATGCTAAATACTTCACCTATTTGCAGGTTGCCAGCCTACCAGAGGAGATTGAAGTTCACATTAACCAAATGGCAAATCATGCTGTTGAGATTCCCAGCAATGGGAATCTCCTAGCAGGAAAGTACCCAGATGATGAGATGCAATTTGTTTCCATGGATGAAATTATGAACACACTCTATTTTCAAGATGAACAAGCTACCACTGGCTAATCCTCAAGGATTTATAACTGGAAATCAAGATCTCCATAGTGAACTGTGTGAAGACTCAGCTCAATCTTTATTCAAATGGGAGGAAGATCAAAAATTTGTTTCCGGTTTCTACCAATTTCCTTTCGAAATAAACATCGAAGGACCCGAGTTCGAACCCCTTGTAGAGGATCCGATCCATGCATGGGAAACACGGGTGCCTTCAAACTGGGAACAGTTAGGTTCTTTAATGTAAGAACCTTGTTTCCACATGGGAAAAGTTTTGTACCATGCATGATTCTTATGATGAATGTTTTATGTATGTTCTTATTTCAATTCCAATAGTAAACAACTTTGTGTTCTAATGTATGATGTTTACAATTTATACAAATAAGATCATGCAGATAAACTCTCCTCCTTTTCCAGCATAAACTTAACCAGATAGAAATCAGAGCAATATATGCCCTTTGAAGCATAACTTCAGGGTACCCTTGATTCATCTAGTTACGCATTCTTACCCTATGTTACTCAAACTTGAATATAATTTTCAGATACGAGTATATATCCTTAATGTGTATACATTCCTACAGATATCCAAATATAGTTCCAATGCAGTTTAAGAACTGATTGCCAAATGAGGAAAAACAGGACAACTTGTTGAGGATTAATGTTGTAAGAAGTAGACCAAACTTACAAGGAATTCAAGGTAAAACAAAAAATGAACTTTCACTCAGAGTTTGGATGCTCCTGCATGGACTACATCATGCTGCCATAAAGCTTTGGGCAGATAGTATGGCAGCTTGGGACTGAGTCCAGTAAGATCAGGGTTCGTTCATGGGCTTGTATATTGGACAAAGAAACTTTAAATTTGGCAAAGTTAAGAGGAAAACGAATGCTAAAATAATTAGGGATTTGAGAATGGAAGCTAATTAATTAAGGAAAATATGTTGTTTTTACAAAGCAGGCAAAGTCATCGGCAACTGAAATCGAATTTGAGAAAGTAAGCAGTAGCTGTCAGCGACTTTGCTCCTTTCTTTTGCATTTTTAGAACCAAACTGAAAGGAAGTTAAAAATATATAGACTAAAATGAAATTTTATAAAAAAATTGGCTACAAACGGTAATTTTAAGAAAGATAGCCAAAAAATAATTTAGTTAAAGTCGATTTCCAAAAAATTCTTATTTTAGTCCTTATACTTTCATTTTTTATATTTTGGTTTAAAAATATTATAACAAAGTTGTCCACAACTGCCGACGATTATTTTCAAAGTAATCCTCTATTGATGATTTTTTCAAAGAGGACCGACTTTGCTCAATTTTTCTTTTTCTTTTTTCTTAATTTTTAAGGCCAGTATTTGTATATGTTTAAGTCGACAATTAAGTTACATTTTGTAGGAATATTATTTACTAATCATCTACGAATACATTTTAGTACATAGGTTAACAATAAAGTAACTTAATTTTGTAATTTATAGATACTCACATAGCTTAATTTGAATAGTTTAAAGGAATAAATGAATTCTTATATTTATAGATTTAAAAATAAATCAAATCAAATTAGGTTATCAAAATGGAACAAAACTTAAGTTTTGTGATGATTTCGAGAAAAAAACAAATAGTTAGGTGATCAAAACGGAACCATAAGAATATTTATATGACTAAATATATAATTTACCTAGTGTTTTGGCATTTCCATACAAAAAGTATACTTTAGGGGGCTATGGTGCATTTAACCCTTTATTTAATAAAAATCTTACTACTCGTATTCCATTCCCATTCAAAACAGATCAAATCCCTAACCTGCCTCGCGTACCTCTATTCGTTTTTCTCTACACCAATACAAAGCCACAACCCTCCAAGCAGCGCAGCTCGTCGGCGTTCGTAAACGGAGATAGAAACCGGTTGTCTGGGTTCTCCTTCAACGTTCTTAGAGCTCGTTTTCAACTCCGATTCTTTCTCAGGTCAGGTATTGTTGAATTTTTTGCTTTTTTATTTCCATAATCATGTTCGATTTATTGTGGGAAAAGCTAGGTCTATTTTTTTTTTTGGTCTTTTGAACTTTGGATCAATGAATTTTGGATCTTCTCTCTTCTCCCAGCCGTGGTTTTATCTATTCTCCCATTCTATTTCAGTTACACTGTAAAATGTATATAGCCTTTTCTCTGTGTAAAATGTAATTGTGGAACCTACTGAATAATGAGTTTTGGCATCAAAAATTGCATGAATATGTATATTCATTGAAATTGAATGATTTAGAAATATGATCAATTTTAAATTCAAAACCTGTGTTTAAATAAGCAATAGCTAAACAATGTAGGGTGATTCAGTAATATTGTTAATTATATTTCGGTTGAATTAAAGCTTCCATGGGATCCACTTGCAATTACATGGTATGATGTTTGTCTGAATTCTCTCTTATATACACTACCGAATGGTTATTACAAAATGCAGCGCAAAGATGTCTAGCACTAAGAGAATAGTCCGAGCATGGAATGGAAGTGTTGTGGAATCCAATTGCATGGAGGAGGTGAGTAATTTTTTTAATATTTGTATTTTATAGTACTTATCAACTGATTTCTTGGTTTTTCTTGAAGTTCTCTGCTGGTGTCTCCCGCTATGCTAATGCAATGGATGTTATGGGTGTTTCATTTCAGAAGTTTTATATTGAATTAGCTGAAGTTGAGTCACGCGCAGTCTCTGCTAAGAAGCGTCCTCGTTCTTTGGAGGGGCGTCTTCGTTCTCTGGAGGAAAGTCTTTGTTCTTTGGAGACGCTTCTTCGATCCGCGGATGAGCTTTATCGTTCTTTTGAGGAGCGTCTTCGTTCCACAGAGGAGTGTCTTCGTTCCACAGAGGAGCTTGCTCGTTCCACAGTGGAGCTTGCTCGTTCTGCGGAGGAGCGTGCTCGTTCTGCGGAGGAACGTGCTCGTTCTGCGGAGGAGCATGCTCGTTCTGCGGAGGAGCTTGTTAAAACAATTGATTCAGAGCTTCTTCAGGTGCAGGCAAAAGTCGGAAAGGCAACACTTTTTTTAATGCGAGAGCCCAAGTAATTTAAAAAATGAACGGAGAGAGGGAGCGACGATAGGTGTTTATATTGTTGATATTATTACTGGTGGGATTGCTTACTTTTAATATTGTTTGTGGATTGTTTATTTTTTATACTGTTTGGGGATTGCTTAACGTTGATACTGTTTGGTGAGTAGATGAAAAATTAAGAGCAATATCTCATTTTTTTCCCACTTAACTCAAGCATGATTATGAACCTCTCTCTTGTTTCACTTCACTCCGTCACTAATTGCAATGCATTCTTTATTTTTGTTAGGTAAGCACGTAACTCTTTCTTTACATAAAATTATCGTAAACTCAATAATTCTATATAAATATAATCATAGATGATTTAGATTGAAACTTTATACATTAATATTATATTTTTCAATTTTCATGAAAATTAATAAATTTATTTTAATCTTAATCATCTATTTTGATTCATTTAGAATCAAAGCCCTAAACACACATAGGGAGGGGTGTGTATTTAATCGAGTCGAGTTGATTGAGTTGATGAATCATGTTTTATAATTCAAACTTTATTTTGCATTTTTGAGGTGTTTACCTTCATCGAAACTACAGATTTACAGTGTCCATTGAGGTAACGTTTCATCTTTATCGGTGGGAATAAAGAGAGAAAGAGAGAACTTTTTTTTAAGCAAAAAATAGAGAGGTTAAAATGAGGAAGGAATAGCCAATTTCGAGTTTAGGTTATCAAGTCGAGTCATTCTAAATTCTATTGTAAATATTTATTTGCATTTGATAGCCGCTAGACTGAAAATTCTCGGAAAAGAAGATTTAAGAGAAATGAATTATGTCCAACAATCCGAACAGAAATCAATATTATTCTCATTACCCATAATACACCTCAAATCAGCATGAAAAGCAGACTCCGAAGACCCAGATGAGTTCACAATATTTCGCCACACCCATGAAGACTTTTTAACATTAACAGCTGAAGGAATAATAGCATTCTGATCATATTTATACTTAGCAATCACAACTTTCCTCCATAAACTATCACTTTCAACACTAAACCTCCAAATCCATTTATTAAGAAATGATCGGTTCCTGATTTGAACATCAAATAAGCCCAGCCCCCCGTAAGATTTTGGTTTACAAATATTATCCCACTTAATCCAATGAATACTCCTATCAGATTTAGCATTCCAAACGAAATTCGCTATAAGACTGTTAATCTTATCAACAATTGACTTGGGCGTAGAAAAAATAGACATGTAATATACATGCAAATTAACTAGGACAGATTTAATGAGGGTTAACCTCCCACCAAAAGAAAGCAATTTACCTTTCCAACTTTGGAGCCGACTTTTGACTTTATCCAAAATGGGTTGCCATAGAGACTTAGAGTTCTTGGGATGACCTAACGGCAATCCCAAGTACAACGACGGAAGTTCTGCCCACCCACAATGAATCAGATCAGCCCACCTCCTTACATTAATATTATATTTTTCAATTTTCATGAAAATTAATAAATTTATTTTAATCTTAATCATCTATTTTGATTCATTCAGAATCAAAGCCCTAAACACACATCGGGAGGGGTGTGTATTTAATCGAGTCGAGTTGATTGAGTTGATGAATCATGTTTTATAATTCAAACTTTATTTGCATTTTTGAGATGTTTACCTTCATCGAAACTACAGATTTACAGTGGCCATTGAGGTAACGTTTCATCTTTATCGGTGGGAATAAAAGAGAGAAAGAGAGAACTTTTTTTTTAAGCAAAAAATAGAGAGGTTAAAATGAGGAAGGAATAGCCAATTTCGAGTTTAGGTTATCAAGTCGAGTCATTCTAAATTCTATTGTAAATATTTATAGTATTATGATATCAACTGATTCTAATTAATGTTTGGGCTTAAGAAAGTAGCTAACTAATAATTAGGAGAAAGGTAGATCGAATGAGACGTTATTAAGCTTCAATATGATAGAGGTAGAGCCCAATGAATTATGATGTTTACATCGACGTATCCATTAGCTCATTTAATTGGTCTAAATAAAAAATTTATTTTAAAAAATGAACAAAGAGAGAGAGAGAGTCACACTAAGGGTTTATATTGAAATTTTAAGAGTGGGTCAAAGCCCAATGAATTATGATGCTTATATAAAAGTAGCCATTAACTCATTTAATTGAGCTAAAATAGAAGTTTTGAAAACTCAAATTTTTTAACCCAAATTCATTTTTACCCAACCCAAAAAGGAAATTTATTATCTTAATTTTTTGATTAAGTTAAACTCAAAATAATAGATAAAAATAACATTATCACAATAATTACATGAAGTAATCAAACTATTTTTCTAGATAATTTATATATTTTTATTAACCGATGTGATATTACATTTTTAAGGTAAATGTTTATATTTGATCCTATCCTTAATCACTCGAACAATTAATAGATCTTAATAATGAAATTTATCATTTTTAATCATTAAACTACTACAAAACTTAAGGGAACTTGAAATTTTATCACATACCCAGTCCAATATACCAAAATAATCACAAAATTCTTCCAAGTCTCCTGTTTCAACTAACGTTTGAAACCCCAAAAATACAATACGTGAAAACCTAAAGTACAAATAGCATAACGTATACCCACCTTTCAAATTTCGAGTTCGAATCTTATTACAAAAGAAAATTTTATACGACTCGATCTTAGATATAATCAAAATCTCATATGATTATCGAACATATGTATACAAAGTTTAATTTAGCAAAATAACCTTAAAACGACAATCGTTTCTGCATTCAAACACAATATTATTTTTCTGGAGTCATAATTAAAATGAAAGCTTCAAAGTCAGGTGGCTGGAAGAACCTATTCCTCGACGGCTGCCTCTTCATGTAAACCACTTGTTTCAGTTTTGGTGTTGGCGGACACGACGGCATCCGCCACCTCGGAGTCATGTAGCCTTCTTCTTATTCATAAATCTCCATGAAAACAAAAGCTTTTCATTTGAAGGTATTTTGTAAGAGAGATTAGGTGGGTGTTGGCTTCCCTTCCTATGGAAGATGAAGATTTCAAACGTACAGTGCAAGGAACTAAGAAACTAAAAAATTATATGTGGCCATATAATGCTGATAGAGTGAAAGGTGACGTTTTGGTTGGATTATTTTCAAGTTTTAATTTCATCATTAGCCCCTATATTCTTTAAACTCTTGAAATTCAATCCTTTTACTTGTTTGATTTAAAATTAAAGTTTGGATAATTTGCTTAACATTTTTTTAAAAATTATATTAGCTATTTACAAATTATTATTATTTGAAAAATATTTTTGGAATTATTTTTAATATCGTCAAATACTAATCTATTTATAAATGCAAGTAAGTTTGGACAAAATTTTAGGCATATAATTTGAGTCTAATTGGACTTGGACAAACATGAAATATTAATACCACATATAACCTATGAACACTTCTAGGCTAGAAAGACTAAATCATTAAAATTAAAAGAGAAAGTACTAAAATTTAAAAGTATAGAGAGTGAATGGACTAGGCGTAGAATTAGAGTTAGTTTTAAGTAAAGTGGTCCTCCGATGACTTGAAAAGTGGAGAACTTTCAATTTTGGAAATTGGAATTGAGATTATTGCTACTTTCTTGACTACATTAGGTAGGCCATGATTTGATTGAAATAATTCTTAATATTTTATTTGTCGATGATTTAATTTAAATTAAATATTGTAAAATTTTATTATAAAAATAAAGTTTATTTTATTTTTTAAGGAATAAAATATTATATTTGTTATTAGGCTAAAGTAAGTATTCTAATAATTTATAAAATTTTATTTAATAAAATAATGTAGTAAATTATTTATTCATTAGTCTTGTATTAAGTGGTGTTTTTAGATGTTTTATTTAATAATTATATAAAAAGATAAAATATCTTTTTGGTATAATTATTCTATTGATCAGTTAATCCGGATCGAATACTGCAGAGGCAAGGACGACCCTCTCAACTCAATTTGTTCCATTCACAAACGTCATAATTCGGACACCTGATATTGTTTAAGGGATCTAATGCCTCATCTCACTAGATCAACTTATTGTTGGTATAAAAAGATACTATGATGATATTAATTATTATTTAAATAATGATATTTTATAATTAAATTAATGTATGATTTACTCGTAATATCAATTCAACCAAAACATAATATTTATATTTTATGTTTAATTTAAAATTCAAAAAATTTCTGATAAATTATTTTATATGTAACTTGAGCATGCTGATGCCTCGCAAATAGCAAAGAAATTCAATAATAAATAATTTGAAAAAAGAAATTTTTTAAATAATAATAATAATAAAAATGTCTAATTTAGAACTTAATTAATTGCAGTGGGCCAGTAGGTTCTGTTGTTTATGGCCCATATATCTTAGTCATATTTGAGACAAAATCAGCCCAATAATCCAAGCAGGTAAATTATTTTGGAATTTACAGCATTTATTACAATGCAAGTGAAACTCATCATATCGGCGTGACATGTTCCATACAATTTTGTTCCATATCATATGATTAGTTTTAATTTTTAATATATTTTATAAAACTTATCACGCCGACGTGATAATTATCACGTACACTGTAATAAATATCATAGATTTCAAAATAATACGCTTAGATTATTGAGCTGATTTTACCCATATATGACTGCCCAAAAAAACAAAAAACATGCGTTGAACGTGGATCGAACACATAATCTCTAAATATTCAGTCTGAAGCTCTCACAACTGAGCTATTGCCGGTGTCATTTTAGTTGCTGAATATTAAAATATAAAACCTAAAAAATGATGCTTTTCAGTTCTTCATTCGGTTCCAGAAGACCCCTTCTCCCCTCTCAACTCTCACTCACCGTTTCAGTCCAATAGAAACCCTAAATCAAAAGCATGCCATTCATTTCGAAAATTCAGAGGCAAACGGATTACAATCGATTCCCTTCTTCCACTCCCGTCGTCATCGACAATGGCGCTTCCTATTTTCGAATTGGGTACTTTACTTTAACCTTTCTCTATAAATCCCCTAACTCTTCGTCTTTTACCCATTAGAAAACAATAACTTATCGACTTTTTTCTCTCTCTCTCTATTTTTGCAGTTGGGCTGGAGAGACTGAGCCGCGGGTTGTTTTCCGTAACATTGTTCAAAGACCACGCCGTAAATCCACCGGTATTTTGCTTCTCA